GACTTGAATGTTAGTTGTGAAACCATAAAACTCTTAGAAGACAACATAGGCAAACATCTCCTGAATATAAGCATGAGCAACTTCTTCCTGAATGCATCTCCTTGAGCAAGGGAAACAAAAGCAAAAATGAACTCATGGGACTACATCAAACTAAAAAGTTTCTGTACAGCAAAGGACACCATCAACAGAACAAAAACGCATCCTACAGTATGGGAGAATATATTTGTAAATGACATACCCAACAAGGGGTTACCATCCAAAATATATAAAGAACTTAAATGCCTCAACACCCAAAAAGCAAATAACCCTATTAACAAATGGGCAGAGGATATGAAGAGACAGTTCTCCAAAGAAGAAATTCAGATGGCCAGCAGACACAGGAGAAGTTGCTCATCATCACTAATCATCAGGGAAATGCAAATTAAAACCACAATGAGATATCACCTCATACCAGTTAAGGATGGCTGGCATTGAAAAGACTAAGAACAACAAATGCTGGCAAGGATGCGGAGAAAGGGGAACCCTCCCCTACACTGCTGGTGGGAATGTAAGCTAGTTCAACTATTGTGGAAAGCCATATGGAGGTTCCTAAAGAAACTAAAAATAGAAATACCATTTGACCAGGGAATCCCACTCTTTGGAATTTACCCAAAGAATACAACTTCTCAGATTCAGAAAGAGATATGCTGGTTACATAGGATTAAGTAAACTAAGGAAGATGATTTTGTGGCTCTTTGTTTCAAATGTTGTTGATAAAGTGTTTTAAGCTTTTTCTCTTAAGCTGACAACAGTTTAGTAAATGACTATCTTTATATGCAGAATTGAAACATTTATCTTTCTACCTGATCTCTCCAGAATTTAAAAACTCTAAGTGACTATTTTTATATTTCATGGCAGTATGTTTATTTGCATAAGTTCAATATGAACCTGCTCTCCTTGCAAGAGGAACAATTAAAAACACAGGTTATAAACTTTACATCTCCCTGTATGGCTCCGGAAGATGACTGGTTAGCCAGAGACGGGTAAGATTCCTCAAGGGAGGAACAACCTAAGACAGGCACAGTCGCAGGGGGGCCATCAGGTGAGAAATTGGGGATCAACAGAGGTGAGGCTCAGAACCTCACCCCCCCTGCTTTGAGAGAAATCTTCTGCATCTGTGGATGTTTTATTGCCCTTGTCTAGCTCGGATTAACACATAGTCTACAGGCACACACCTGATCATCTACAATTGCTCTCTTACAGCACTACACTATGTTTTCTACCTTTATCTTGCATCTACCTACCACTTCAGCATTTTTTTAAAATTAAAATTATTATTATTAATTTATTTATTTTTGTTTTATTTATATATTAATTATTTATATTAATTTAATTTTTATTTTTTTTTTTTTTGTTTATAGTTCATAATGCGTGATCAAAACCGAAAGTTTCTGTGATGACTGCCCTTGTACTGTTCACCATGTAAGAACTTATTCACTATGTAAGAATTTGTTCACCATGTAAGAACTTGTTCAGTGAAATGGATTAATGATTGTGCATTGAGCATTGACTCCCCTATACAGAATTTTATTGTTGTTAACAACCGTTTGATCAATAAATATGAGAGATGCCCTCTCAAAAACAAAAAAAACCACACAGGTTATACTACCAAGGCTTTGACTGGAATGTCATACCTGACAGACATGAGCATAAACTCAGATATGAACAGCTTTAAGGAACTAAGGTTGACTTTATAAAGCCAACAAAGCCCCTTGGAAGAACTGGCCTGGTGCCTTGCTTACAGGCTTCCCAGCAACCTTACCAGGTGAGTAAGGAAGGTCACTTCCTGGCAGGTGCAGGAACCTCAGGATGTCTTGGGGACCTTGAGAGGAGAGGAATTAACCCAAATCTAAAGGTACTGCAGGCAAAACCTGATGGCAAGTCTGGCTTTGCTGTCTGGCCCCAAGAGGCCTTTAAAAGTTCAATCTGAAATTCCTTATAAAAAGTTCCAGCAAAGCATACTTAAAAGAGCCTATATAATCAATTGCTCTTCTTGCTGCACTTATGCAAATAAAGCCAAGTGTTAATTATTTTCTTAATCTGGTTACTTCTAATAAAAATGAGGGTGATTTTAGAGAAAAGTATTGTTTCAATAATGCAGCCTTATCCATACTAAATCCTAATACTAGTCATTGGGACATAAACTAGATCCAGAATTCTAGCTTCTTCAAAATATCTGGCTATGATTTTCCAGATGTTTTAGTTTTCTCCTATCATTGCAACTGAAGTTTTACTATTTCTAATTCTCATATTCAAACATGCATTCTTAATCTCATCAAGTTTGTCCTTCCAAAATGAAAATCCAACTCCAGATGTTGCTACTTAACCTAATAATACAATTTGTTCTAACTTGCCTAGAAGCCACAAAACTGCAAATAGTAATAGAAATGGAACCTGGAATAGAAGTGACCATCTTCCGAGGCCCTCTCAACTGACCACTGATGGAGACCTAACTGCACCCTTTACTGTGCCCCTTCTCAGCATGAAGCAGCCAGAGCAGTCGTCACCCCCTTTCCCTAGCAGCAGCTAGGGTTTCCATCTGTAGAGGGGGGAATGAGACAGGGACCATGAGTGAGGTCAGAATAGCAGGGCAGAATATTTACAGTCAGAGCAATGTAAATATTCTGCAATGGGCAAAGAAGTCCCTTTTGAAACTCTGTGCTAAGCATTATGCAAAGTCAAGGTCACACTAATTCTCTAGGAAGAGATACCAGACTAAGAATATAGACATCTTCAGTGAGATTAGTTAAAGGTCAAAAGGCCAGGAGCAACTTGGCCTGGAATGTTTGAGTGTTCTGCAAGGGTATCAGCATAACCCGTGACTCTGTGGTCAGCCACAGCAATCAGACTATGACCCAGCCCAGCTTGCGGACAGGGCAGGTGGTACAAGCCCACACTGCTAAGCCTTTTTTGATGTTCTGGAAAAATCCTCAACTGCCTATAAAACCCCCTAGACAACACACCACTATGGGCTCTCTTGTCCCCTCCTAGCATGAGCTGGGAGCTCTGTCCTTTCACTTCATCTCTAAATAAAAGCCTGTACCTTGCTCTCCTAAAAAAAAAAAAAAGATATATGCACCCACCTCTATGCTTATCGCAGCACTTTTTACAATAGCCAAGATATGGAAGCAACCTAAGTGCCTGTCAGTAGATGAATGGATAAAGAAGATGTGGTACATATACACAATGGAATACTATTCAGCCATATTCTGCCATTTGCAACATGGATGGAGCTGGAGGATATTACTCCCAGTGAAATAAGCCAGGCGGAGAAAGACAAATGCCTAATGATTTCCCTCATTTGTGGAGTGTAACAATTAAGCAAAACTGAAGGAACAAAATAGCAGCAGACGCAGAGATTCCAAGAATGAAGTAGTAGTTACCAAAGGGGAGGGGTGTGGGAGGGCAGGTGGGGAGGGAGGGAGAAGGGGATTGAGAGGTGTTATGTTTAGTACACATGGTGTGGGGGATCAGGGGAAGAACAGTATAGCACAGAGAAGGCACATAGTGGATCTGTGGCATCTTGCTGCACTGATGGACAGTGACGGCACTGGGATATGGGTGGGGACTTGATATGTGTAAATGTAGTGACTACATTGTTTTTTCATGTGAAACCTTCATAAGAGTGTATATCAATCATACCTTAATAAAAAAAAAACCTAACTATAGAAATAGAAATCAATACAATGAGATAGTATTTCATACTTACTAAGATTGGTATTAATAACAATTTTTTTATTAAGGTATCATTGATATACACTCTTACAAAGGTTTCAGAAGATAAACAATGTGGTCATTACATTCACCATTATTGAGTCCCCCCCACCATACCCCACTGCAGTCACTGTCAATCAGTGTAGTAAGATGCCAGAGTCCCTATTTTGTCTTCTATGAGCTATACTGTCTTCCCCGTGATCCCACACACATCATGTGCACCCATCACAAAACCCCACAATCCCCTTCTCCCTCCCTCCCTTCCCACCCGCCCTCCCACACCCCTCCCCTTTGGTAATCACTAGTCCCTTCTTGGAGTTTGTGAGTCTGCTGCTATTTTGTTCCTTCAGTTTTGCTTCATTGTTACACTCCACAAATGAGGGAAATCATTTGGCACTTGTCTTTCTCCATCTGGCTTATTTCACTGAGTGTAATAATATCCTCCAGCTCCATCCATGTTGTTGCAAATGGTAGGATTTGTTTCTTTCTTATGGCTGAATAATATTTCATTGTGCTATGTACCACATCTTTATCCATTCATTTACTGATGGACACTTTGGTTGCTTCTAATAACAATTTTTTTAGAAAATGAAAACAAGTGTTCGTGAGTATATGAAGATATTGGAACCCTTGTATAATGCTGGTAGTAATATAAAATGGTTCAGCTTCTGCAGAAACACTGGTGGCTGCTCAAAAAATTAAACAGAATTACCATATGACAATTCCACTCCTAAGTATACACCCAAAATAAATGAAAACAATATGCATGCACTCATATGCACATACAAATCAGTACTATTCATAATAGTAAAAGGTGTGAAATAACCCAAATATCCACGAACAGATGAATGGATCAACAAATTGTGATACATACACGCAGTGGAATATTATTCAACAATAAAAAGGAATGAGTACATGACACAACATGGATGAACCTCAAAAACACTATGCTAAGTGAAGGAAGCCAAACACAAGTTCACATTTTTATGATTCCAGAATAGGTAAATCCAGAGACAGAAAGCAGACTGGTGGGTCTTAGAGGCTGAGGAAAGGGGTAATGGGGAGTGGCTGCTTAATGGATACAGTTCTTCCAGAGCGATGAAAATGTTATGTAACTAGAGAGAGGTGGTAGTGAATTTACTAAATGCTAATTAAACTGTATACTTCAAAATGGTTAATTTTATATGAATGTCACCTTATTAAAAATAATCAAAAATTTCTAAATAAAACTTCAGTGAGAGATTTACCTTGTCTTTCTTTCCTTTTTTTGTCTTCTCAGATGGTGGCATTTTGGGAGCTGGTGGAGGAGGTGGAGGAGGAGGTGGAGGCGGAGGCGGAGGTGGAGGAGGAGGAGGAGGAGGAGGTGGTGGTTCTATTACGGCACTGGTAGGCACAGCACCTCGGGCCTGCACTGGCTGCAGTGTGGGAGCAGTCACTGCCATTGGGACAGAGCATTCAGCATAGCTCATAACTGCAGGAGCTGATGCCAGTCCTAGGTAATTTGACTGTAAGCTCATTCCTCTGGCCTGATGACCCATTCCTGTTGCTGGACGGCTAACTGATATTGCATGGTATCCAATCCCTGCAGACTGGTTTCCAATCCCTGTTGCCTGCTGACCTAACACAAAAAATATAAAATGAAACTATAAAAAAGATATTGTGACAAAGCCAAAAACAAAGAAAAGAAAAAGGAAACTGGAGGTTAGATCATCTACAAAATGATTCCAATGTACCTTTTGCTCAAAAAACAGCCACATTTTTTGGTAGCAAAATATTAGTATTTAGCATTAAGGTATATAAACATCAGAAATCACTTATATTATGTAAATGCATAGAAATACATCTGGAAGGACACTTGCCAAATGTTAACAGTGGTTGTTTCTGAAAGAAATGTTAAAGGAAACATTTTCTTTTCCTTTAACATTTTCTCCTTTAACATTTTCATTTCCTGTAACATTTTCTCAATTTGTAACATCTAATTCTGGAAACAAAGACATAATACATTGAGGAAAACACATTTTAATCACAATGCTTACCTGCAGCTATAGCTGACTGGCTGTAGAGGACAGGAGAACTACCAATGGTAGCTGATCTCTGAACTACTGCAGTACTAATTTCTGTAGCTTTTCTCTTTATTGCTTTAGTGGAAGGAGAACTAGAGATGGTAGCGTCAACTGAACTCTGAAACACAGAGATTCTAGTCAGTGGCTAAGGGCCCTGGTTAAACATCCTCCTCTAAAATAAAATGCAGTATCAGTTATGCCCAGTCCCCAAAAACTCATCAGAATGCCAAGTAACATTCCTCACCTGGCTAATCACAGCTGTGACTTTTGTTGAAGGTTTTGTTGGAGTATCCTCCTCTGTTCCTGGGGCAGGAGGCTCCTCACTTCCCTCATCCTCCATCTCTACCTCTTGGATCTCACCATCTTCTATGGGAGGAGGGGGAGGAGGGGGAGGGGGAGGGGGGGATTCTGGGGGTGGAGGTGGGGGTGGTGGCATTTCCAAAGGTAATGGAGGTTGAAGCACTGGCACATTTGACTGAAGGAGGGTCCAGAATGGAGTGAGTGGCATGAGTGATGAAGAAAAAGACTCTTTACAAAGAGAACCTATGAAAACAAATATGAGTCAGGGAAAAGGCAAGACAAAAATCCATGGCTTATATGCACAGAAATGTTCAGTTGATTGATGAGATAAAATCTGACCCACAACATCTGTGGCTACATGGATGTCACTGAAGTTTAAATAACCCAGTTCAAAAGGACTTCCAAGGAATGATAAATTTATGAACCTCACAGTCAACACTTGCCCCAGCTGTGTTATACTAGTCTTGTTCTTTGGGTTCAGATTTATCAATGTAAATAAGAAGTACATCACATCAACTCAAATGAACCAGAAGTTTTTAATTTCAAATATTCACAATTTCACATACAAAACCGGAAGGCAACACTCCAAGGGTCTTTAGTATTTCAAAAGTGAAGAGGTGAAGTGAATGATGTGCATTGCAACATTGATTCTCTGTAGTTTATTTTTAGAGAGTTACTTAAATGACTGGGGATGACCCAGGTAAGTACCCATTCAAAAATTTCACACATACTCTACCTGTTTTAATTAATTTGAATTGCTAAGCTTTAAAAATCCATTTGCAAGGTACTATTATCAACCCTATCATTCCTTCACACCTTTGTGTGAATTATATTCATTTGCTAAATCACAGTAACACAAACTGGGGGTGGGGGGTGGGGGTAATTTTTTATTTCTGGAATGAGAAAAGGAAAATTTAGGGGACTAAATCTTAAAGGTAAATGATAACTAAGGTACACATGAAAAAAGTGTTTAAATGTGCAGAGGATTAAAAATTGCTATTGAAGTCTAAATTAAGAAATTATATTAAAAAGAAACAAGATCAGCTTTCCTCAAATTTTGCTAAAGCCAGTTAATTAATGTCCTTTTTCTGCTGGGGAAAAAATTTAAAGATTAGAGAAAATAGGAGGATATACTTACTTGTAGCTTTCCCCATCCCTCTTTATCGTCAATAGGGAAGTTTCACAATATATGGGACTATTAGATATATATCCCAGGAATGTTGAAGGGGATTTTCTCCCTAAAATCATAGAATTTAGGAGTAGAAGAGACATGAGAAATCATCTAGTTCAACCCTCTCATTTTAAAGGTAATGAAACCCAGGAGGAAAAGGACTTGCCTAAGATCATATAGCTCTTAATGGCCAGATCTGACTCCTAGTCTATTTACTTTACCAAGATGTCCTGGTGAAAAGTCAGGAGTCCACAAGCCTTAGAAATCTCAAATAAATATCATTTCTCATGGAGTAGAGATCCAGACACAGTCACGTGTTAAATTTCATGGTCAAAAGCAGTGGATTAGATAAGGGCTCTATTATAAAAGGCTCTAGGGTAAGAGTAAGGCCCTTTACTTTGCTCAATATACACAATACTGGCCACTCAAGAAGGTAAAACCAAGGCAACCAAGAACCATTTGTCTTTTAGAATAGCTTTACTTTTTATGGAACGAATGATACATTATGTAAAAGACTTAAAGAATACGACTTGCATGATACTGTAATTACTTTGAGAAATTCCTTACTAAGGATAAGGGCCCTAAAAAAAAAATTCACCAGAAAACAGGAATGCAGTTTTCTAGCTAAAAAACTTTAAATGTCTCATTAAACTTTTGTATTTGGTCATATCTAATATAAATTTATACATCAACTTTTAGACAAATGAAGTCTGGATACGGCCAGTCTACTACATTATATCAAAGTACATAAAAATCATTATCACAACTAATGTAATTAACTTTAAGGATTAATAACTTAATAAATTTCCTTCTATTAAACCAACCATAATATATGGCAGGTAAATAAGGTCAGATTTTATATTTGTAAATTTCTCATCTAGAGGCATTATGCACATACCAATACATTTATTATGGTATAATCTGCAATGTGGAAGAACTCAAAAGAAACACACAGTAGGTTCAAGGTTGGTTATGAGGTTTACAAATTTCCAGCAAAGCTCAGAATTAAATTTTGTGTGAATGTGAGATAAACTAGACCTGACAATTTAGCAATAAACAAGGAGAAGTTTTAGAGTTAATATTTGAATTACAAACTAAGTTTAATTCAAAACAGAAAAGCTGTGCTGTAACATCGATAATTATCTCCTTTAGCTTAAATACAAAAAATTTTAAGAAATCCTTGTTTGAATATCCATGATGTCATACTACATGATGCTCCTATTTTCAAATTTAACTCGGTTCATTCTGCCATTTGAGACCACATTTAAATCTGTAGTTCAAGGGAAGAATAAAATGATATACACAGCTTTTATTATGTGCTAAGAGACTAAAAAACTACAAGCTTATAAACAGAATAGTGTGGGGATACAAATTTTGGATTCTTCAAGAACTTATTTTATGTCTTTATTTCTATTTATAGGCAGTTTTCCTATATTCTCCCAAAGAGAAATTTTTTCTTAGTATTTTGAACCAACAAGCCAATTAAGCAGTTTAAATCAAGAAGTTATTAAACAGTTTCATAGACTTTTTTTGAAAAGCAGCTAAATTTAACCTAAGTGACAACAGTCCAGTAAAACAGATATATTATCTTTAGAGACATGATACTAAATTCAAAAACTAAACAAGGATTAAAACTGAACAGAACTTTGAAACTTCCTTGCTTCCCAGTGTAGTAATATTTCTTTAAAAGATAGTTTAACCACTTCTGGGTTGATAAAAGAGCATATATGATATAAATTTTCTTTATAGGCTTAAAACAGTGATCATATTAGTCTTAAATCCCAAAGACCTTAGTGTAAAATTTGGATTTCATTTAGATCAAGTTTACCATGTGGTTAAGTGGCTCTCAATAAAGAAGTTTAAGACTACAAACTGGTTTATCAGTGGTTTTTTCCTACAACTGGCTTTTTCCTACAATGGTTTTAATCTGAGAGGAATGTCTCAAGATCTTCCCTTTACGAGATAGTACCAACTGTGTGTGTCATGAACAAAGGCAGAAAATAAGTTAATACTTAACTCTAAGGTGTTCAAAGAACACTCAATAGTTGGTAATGCTAGGATATTTAGTTTTGGAAGAGTTGGTTATGCTAGGATACTCAGTTTTGGAACATATAAGAAAGGGACATTAGACTGGTCAGGAATGGAATCATCTGCCCAGAACCACCATCAAGCCTCTTCAATTCACTACCTACTACAAAGCAAACAAACAAAACCAAACTTAATAGACATACCTATCATTGCTACCATAAGACCAGGGCAAGTAACCAAAAGAAAACCTCGTCATGAAAACAGTAAATAAAATGCCCTTATAGCTTGAGAAAATATATTTCTGAAATATGAAGTAGAATAAAAAACCTTTTTTCCATGTTCTTCAAATTACCACTACAGTCATGTGGCTTTTTAGAGTCATCTGGTAACAATTCCTAGGCTATTCAAGAAATTAAAATCATTTTGTACATAACCAATTTCATTTGGCAATTTAACGGAACTTTCTACTGGGTTTGGGGAACCTGTAGAACACAAAGCATCATTTTTGATAAGCAGAGGACAAAAGAAGTCACCTTTTCATTTCCTATCTTACTAACAAATTCCATGTCTTTTTTTATTTTCAAAGGTTTATTACTGCAGAAACCACATCACAGACTCTTGTTTTCATATGCCATTATTTCAACAATAGCTACCAGAGTTTTTTAGATCAAAAAGTTGCTTATCGTCGTCATGACTATGCTTCATCATTCACTTATTTTTGTAATTCCAAGAAAGATGGACTTAGGGGGGGAAATTTCATCTTCTTCCATAATGTGGACATCAAGCCATGGCTATTCAGAAGAGCTATCAAATTTTCTCAGAATAACTAAGAAGCTATGAAACCACTCCCTGAGCCTTTTTAATGTCTGTAACTAAAATGAAGCCTTCTGTAAGTACTTAAGTAGATTCAGTCATCCTGTTTTATACTAGAATATTACTGGCGATTTGCAATGATCAGTTATTTTGCTTCTCTGAAACAAGTATGGTCTGAGTTTCACAAGCATTCCTCAGATCATTCTGATTTTTAACAACCATACTTCTATAAGACTAGTGGAGTTGATAAACAAGGTTGCAGTTATCAACAGACTAAATACTTTACAGAAAAGCAGAGTATCTCATTATCATTCCACATAGACAAGTCAACTATTTAGTTCCTTAGCATTAATTAGCATTCCTATTATTGAATATCCACAACTTTGTGTCCTGAGAAGTGGCTGTAGGACAATCTTTTAAAACATATTGGCTCATGGTTTCATTTTTTAGTGGCATCTAGTATCAACAACATGCTCATTTCCAACCAGTCACTGTCAGTTTTCTTCAGTACACATCCGGCATTCTTTCTTTTAGGTCAAGCCACTATTTTTTAATTGGAAATTTGTTGTTATGATTTATTTTCTTTCATGGTATCAATTAATACAAGTCCTTTTTCTCTAAAATCATTTCTCTCCAATTAGTACAGGATAAATTGTCCCACCTGTGGAATTCTCAGAGGTTTCTGTAGAATTTGAATCAGTGCCAGTTTTGTCTTTCAAGGTCTGTTTAGGAAGAGTCTCGTCTCTACTTTCTTGTGCTTGGCTTTCCTCCTCCTCCTCCTCACCATCTGGGAACTCCCACTGAGACTCGCCCGACTGTTCGTTTACATAGAAATATCGTCTATGATCCCTAAATTACAAGAAAGAAAACATGGGTTTTAAGACCCATTCTCCTACAAAGACATTTATTTCCATTTGGTCCTGTCCCAGGACAGCAGTCTGCTCTCACAGGGATGAACCTCTTCTTAATGGACTGCTATTCACAAAGGCAACAAAGAGCTTTGACAATTGAGGATGGAGAACAAGTGTAATTCAAAGCTTTTTGCACTGCCAGCAACTCTGAGAATACAGCCCTGAGCCCTCTCACTCCAACAAATGACTTAGGAAACACCTCTCACATCTTTTTGTGTGTGTGTGCCAATGCTTAACAGGGTTTCAAGTTTCATTAATGAAGGGACTCAATCTCCTAGAACACTAATTTCCCTTCCAAAGAAGAGAACAACGAAGTTTGCGAAAGGTGACTCTTCCCCTCTTGGACCGTGGAATTCACATTTCACATTTCATATTCTTGATACCAAACACAGTGAAAGCTAAAGAGAGGGAGAGGATCTGGGAGCTGAAAAATAAAAGAGCAAAGATTTCAAATAACGAAAAAAAAAAATCAAGAAAAGCCAAATATAAAAAGAAATATTTTCATCTGACCTGCTGGCAGCAGATAGTAATCTTGTTCTTCATTCACATCTTCAGCCACGAAGCTTTCCTTAACTTCACCGAGGTTAATCAGGAGTAGTTGCTTCCAGAGGTCCTGTAAAGCGCACAGAGCTCTCGCATGCGCTTAACCCCCAAGCCCGCCCTACTCCGTGCAACAACACTCTGGAGAGTAAAAACCAGCTTTGTCCAATCTTGGGAAAAAATCCGTTACATGGAACACTTTAAACATTGCTTTTTTGTTTCTCCAACGTGTGGCTGGCCCAAACTCTGTAAGAGCTTGTAGTGCTTTGCCTGCCTGGCATCGCTAACTGTAGCTGCTCTCAGTCTCCAGACAGGCTGTCATCGTCAGGTGGTGGTGATCACAAATCATGTCTGAGATGTCAAACGTGAAAGGTGAAAAGGGGAGAAGAGTGCGTACCTGTCCCAGTGGCAGGACCAGCCTTTAGGAGTGGCGTTTATTTCATACTGTTTTAGCTGTTCTGCTGCATCCTGTAGTTTTCGTTTAAGGTAATTTCCATTAAGTGCCCCTTCCCTCCAGTCTGCAATCCGAGTCTAGAATCAATGAACACAGAAATAAGTTTAAGACTTACTATTATGTCAGGCAGAGGTAAAAGGGATATTAATTTTTCTGGTCCGTAACTATATTGCAATACTCTGGGGCAAAAGAAGAGTAGGCCAAAAAGGAAAAGAAACCCCATCTTAATTTCATAAATAATCTTGTTTGCTCTGCAGAGTTCTGAAAAATGAGACTGGACCCCAGTATATTTTTATACTGCCAACTCTTCAAATACCTGTGAAAATGAGTGACAATAATTTGTTTTCCCCTTTGGACTATATTAAAACTGGTTCTCCAGTAATTTTACTTTTTTTTGTAGACAGTCCATTCACTTCAATAATGTTATTAATTCAAAGTTTCAATCTTTAGGGATCAGTTTACCATTGGAGTTCCTTACTTAACTTGTGACTTATGCAGGTTACAAATAGGAATCAGAACTTTTTTCTTAGGTAGATTTACAATGCTTAACGCTTTATAATTTGTAACACTTTTAAAGTACTTTCAACATTGAAAGGCCTCATCTGATCATTATGAATAGGATTCATATTGACTAGGAAAAATTTCATATTAAAATATTTGCCTATTTAAGGTAGTAGTATCATCATGCCCAAACTCTCAGTTCTATTTTCATAATTATATTTTGCTTTGGCTAATACACAGTTCAGTTTCCTGGGTTGGTGGTTCAAATATGCATTATTGTTAAAAATTTTAATTTAGGATTAAAACATAAATAAGACAGATTTCTCATATAATATTTTATGTGGAGATTGACCGTTTATACCAAAAACTGTTAAATTACCTCAGTCTGTAAGAGCAGCATATGAAAGTTGGAGATGGACTGTCTATTAATGCCTAGGAATTCAAATTTACTTGTCAGGGTATTTGCCAGTTCTCCAATCTGAAACTGTAATGCAGGAAGGAAAAAAAGGGGGAAATAAAAACAGAATCAGCATTATTTTCTATATTATGTAAAATCTTTCATTTATTCTTATAGGTACTAGAAAAACAGGTCTACCTATAAACACCCTTTCTCAAACAGCTGCATCCAGTTAGGTAGAAGATAAAATTCTAATTTATAGTGTAACAATTCACATATCAAAGTGATTACAGATTCAAAAAAATTAAATGCATATTTAAGACAACATGGAAATCAACAGTTGAAAATAGACCCTAAATGACAGAACTTCCAATATTGCCCAAACTATCATTTATCCGTAAGTATTATTATAAGTATTATTATAAGTATAATTGCTTATACTAGCTACACACTGACAAAATTAATTCTTCTAGTCCCTCCTACGTGGTTGTAAACTAGCTAGTGACTGGATAAATTCTTTCAAGTCAAAAGATTACGCTAAGTGGTTTTTCAACAAACCACCTTCAAGTAGCCACGTATTTACATGGTCCAATTCTCATCATGACATAAGGTTAGAAAGAAACTGGAACCAAAGCTGCCTTTGTGTAAGGACAAGCAGTTCACAGGAATTAAATTTGTGAAACTTTAGTCTCCTTAGTACTTCCAAACTAGAGAAGCCTATTATTAAGTAAGCTATTGCTTTCTAATGAAGGCTTAACTTTAAAAAAAGTAATTAAGCAGTTAGAATGTTTTTTAAGGTAATTCTACTACATCAAGTCACTCTTTAATTCCTTATAGCCTTACATATGACCTTTTCACCTAACCAAATAAATGATTTATATCTGGAGACACTAAAGATTACTACTTGCTAACAGAAAGTAGTTTAATGGCCAATTTACAAGTATTTGTCAAGTTGCATTAAGTACTACACATACTTTCAAATCCTGTTCTTCTACTTTAGGTGCTGTTTGTACTTTTATCTTTTCTGGTGATTCATCTACTTCCATCTCTTTGTCCGAATTCTCATCTATTTTTTCTGAATTTTCAGCACCAATTGCTGCAAAAGAAAACATGTGAAATTTAATCAAAAGGGCTGTTACCTATAAAGCCCCATATAAATTTTGACCCCTGAAGGAGAGATTTCTGAAGGTTACCAGTTCTTTCCTTTGCTGTGTTTTCCGTACTTGAAGTCAAAGAAGCCCTAATGACTTGTCAACCTGTCTTTATAAAGCCAAAACTTTATCCATTGTAATTACCTTTCTTAAAATGTCGATAAATAAAATTTACTTTTACTACATTACCTTGTAGTTTCCGCATTTCCTTTATCTATTAATCTTTTCTAATCTCTTCCAGAATATCCTTGATTACTTATAAAAGCTAGATATCAAACCTGAGCTATATTGATTGGTTCTTAATGAAGTGGGTTTTGGAAAAAAGGCTTTTAAAATCAGAGCAGCATTAATTTAAAACGACTGGATAACCTCCGTCCTGAATGGTTAAGACTATCTATAGACAATTTATATGGGGCCAAACTCCTCTCTGGTGCTGATGGTCTGCTGGTAGTGGGAATCTTCAAAAGAGAGTAAAATAGGTTTACCACTAACTTAAATGGAATAAAGATTCAACTTTATTATTTGTTATATTTGCTTCTTAACACCTGCTTACCAAACTAATCCAAACATACAATGTAAATTATTCTTTAATGAGACGATTTAGAAATCAGATTAAAAAAAAATAAACAAACCAAAATTAACTCTTTTCTTGACTCTGGTTCATCCTTGATCTGAAGAATTTTAACATCACTTTCAACGCTCTTATTAGCCTAAAACTTTTTAAGTACTCAACCTCATCATATAATGGTCATGCTCTTTTTATATAATTATTAATATTCCTTCTACACTTCCAAATTGTCTCAAATAATAAATTTAACATGCTTTGAAAATCACTGTTTTTAAACACTGAGTGGTATATGTATCTTCATTTAACTCTTCCCGCATCAATGAACATTTAAGCTATGTTTGTGTTTCACTCTTAAAAATAATATTGCATTTGTATTAGCCAAAAACACCCCAACAAACCATTTCAATGTCTACCCAAGGTAAAATGTATAAGTTGTGTTCTTGCAGTCAAATACTAAAAAGCAATAAAAAAATGAAATAATCCATAGTTATGTGCACCAATTCAAAGGATTAATATCAGAAACAATAATACTGAATAAAAAAAGCCACAAAGATATGCACATTCAATAGGGAAATGACAGCATCTTCAACTGGTGTTAGCAAAACTGGACAGCTACTTGCAAGAAAATGAAACTGTACTATTATTTAACCCCAAAAATAAAAGTAAATTCGAAGTGGATCAATGACCTGAATGTAAGTCATGAAACCATAAAACTCTTAGAAGATAACATAGGCAAAAATCTCCTGAATATAAACATGAACAACTTCTTCCTGAATACATCTCCTCAAGCAAGGAAAATAAAAGCAAAAATGAATTCATGGGACTACATCAAATAAAAAAGATTCTGTACGGCAAAGGACACCATCAACAGAACAAGAAAGCATCCTACATTATGGGAGAATATATTTGTAAATTACATATCCAACAAGGGGTTAACACCCAAAATTAATATAAAGAACTCACATGCCTCAACAACCAAAAAGCAAATTAACCCAAATAAAAAATGGGCTGAGGATATGAACAGACACTTGTCCAAAGAAATTCAGATGGCCAACAGGCACATGAAAAGATGTTCCACATCACTAATCATCAGGGAAATGCAAATAAAAACCACAATGAGGTATCATCTCACACCAGTTAGGATGGCCAGTATCAAAAAGACTAAGAACAAATGCTGGCGAGGATGCAGAGAAAGGGGAACCTTCCTACACTGCTGTTGGCAATGTGAACTAGTTCAACCATTGTGGAAGGCAACATGGAGGTTCCTCAAAAACTAAAAATAGAAATACCATTTGACCCAGGAATTCCACTCCTAGGAATTACCCAAAGAAAACAAATTCTCAGATTCAAAAAGACATATGCACCCCTATGTTTATCGCAGCACTATTTACAATAGCCAAGATATGGAAGCAACCTAAATGTCCATCAGTAGATGAATGGATAAAGAAGATGTGGTACATATACACAATGGAATACTATTCAGCCATAAGAAACAAACAAATCCTACCATTTGCAACAACATGGATGGAGCTAGAGGGTCTTATGCTCCATGAAATAAGCCAGGCGGAGAAAGACAAGTACCATATGATTTCACTCATACGTGGAGTATAAGAATAAAGAAAAAACATAAGGAACAAAACAACAGCAGAAACACAGAACCCAAGAATGGACTAACAGTTACCAAAGGGGAGGGGTGTGGGAAGCAGACACTGATGGATAGTGACTGCAAAGGGGTAACGGGGGTACTCCATAATATGGGTGAATGTAGTAACTGCATTGTTTTTTCATGTGAAACCTTCATAAGAGTGTATATCAATAATACCTTAATAAAAAAAAAAGAGAAAAGAAAAAAGCCACAAAGAATGCATACATTAATATTCTATGTATATTAGGTTGGCAAATAGCTAAAAATGTTGTGTTTAAAGATCTCTCCATAATGAAGCTAAAGGAAGGTACTTACTAACACCATCAGGGTAGAGGTTATGTCTGGCACACGCGTATGTGATGGCAGAGGCACAGGGAACTTCAGAGGTGCCAATAACCGTCTTCTGTTAAGCTGGGTTGAAGTTACCTGAGTGCTTATTTGTTTTATTCTTATACTTGGTGGTAGGTACAAGTATTTAATTTCTAGCTCTTAGACTTTAATATTCTGGAGGGCAATTAGGCAGGATCTATCAAATTAAAATGCACGTAACCCTCTGATTTAGCCACACCACTAGGATTCTATACTATAGTGATACTAAATATACCTAGATACTAGGTACATGTACCAGATGTTTCTTACAGCATTGTGTGTGTGTGTGAAGTATCATATCAAAAAAAGGAAAGGATTTCCCTTCTATATTTTTCAACTCTAAAGTTTAATGTAAAGCACAATTACCAGTTTCTCCATTTTCTGGAGTCTCCTGTCCAGTTTTGCTAGAACTCCGGCTGATGGATTCTGGACTGGTAGCTCGAACAAACATCTTCCATTTCCCTCTTTTAGACATAAGTCGATGCATCCCATCTTGAGATGCTGGCTGGCTGATATCAGAACACGGACTAGACCCTGACACACTACCATCTCCTTCCTCCAAGGCTCGTAACTCTGCCTACAATGAACACAACATAAAGTTAGAGTGTCATTAACTGTTAATCTATATGCAAGCAATTGTGAGTAGCAAGAATGTAGCCGTGTGTTCTGTGAATTTAAATCTTTTGAGGACAGGAAGAATTTCTTAATACATTTTTCCATCAGAGCTGTGCATTTTACTCCATATTCTTTTGTTACACAAGAAATGCTTTCTCATGATTATAGTTAACAAATATCAATTTGAAGGACAGGTTCTAGAGATTCACTAACAGAAATTTTCCAGTACATGTACACAACAGATAGGCTTAACTTTGCTAGTTCTTCTCCATAGCTTCAAATTTTTCAAAAGGGGGAAAGCTTCAAGGAGGTATTACTATTGTAACACCTGTTAAAATTTTGCTTCATATTCAAGACAGCAGTAGATGAAACTGTTCTAAGAAATAACAAGGCAAAAAATAGGTAAAAATCAGCTTCTCAAGCAGGAAGGTTTCCTGAGGACCACCTTTTTTAAAAGGAAAGTACATGAAATTATGGGTTCCTCCAAATCCTTCTGTTACAAGGCCCATTTAACTATCAAATAATGGTATGGTTGAAGTCAACTTCTATTTTAATAGCTGGGTTAAGAACCAAGCTCTCAAAGAATTGTGCAATGCTCATTTGTCAAGAAACTAAATCAAAGACACATTACTTTGATCATAGCATGACCAGGGACTATGAAGAAGTACAACTCCACAGCTCAGATTTTTACTGCATAAGCTTAAACATATCTAGATATTAAACATATCTAGATAAAAGGGTAAGGAAAACAAGAACCCAGTAATGCCTATAAATTGAGTACAATGATGCCAGAGTACGATAATACTGAGGGGAGAAAAATGTGTTTAACTAGAACTTCAAGAATTTACCTTTTTCTTTTCCAAAACTAGCTCCAGCTCAAGGGTATCTTGTTCCTCTTCCTCCTCACTTTCTCCAGACTGAACAGCACTGCACAGATCTTCCTGAGAAGGGTCTTCCATATTGTCCAGTGTAATTTCCTGTGGCTTTACTATTGCCACCTCCTCTACTGTTGCAGTTACTTCTTTTACTTCTGAAACTGACTCTACTTCTTTACAAATTACTTTTCTTCTCCATCTCTCTTCTTCCTCTTTTATTCCCTCAGGCAATAAAGGAGCAAGCAGTGATGCTGCCACGCCTTTCTTCTCCTCCTCACTATTTGAGAGAGCCTGGATTCCTTCATTTACTTCCTATAAAGAATAAAATCATCTCACTTGAACATATATTTAATTGTTCATGTTAAATATAACTGTTTTGCAGTCACTGCATATCCTTAAAAACCACCCACTCCCAAAAGACTAGTATATATATTTTTACCATTTTCCTTAAGTGTGTAATGGAAACCTTGTTACTTTAGGAAGTCCGTGCTTGTACTAGAACCTAGTTCTGGGTGAACTCACACATACCCTCCCCACTATTCTCCCTAAGTCAAAAGGCAGAGTTAAATAAGATCAGAATTTTGTCAGCTCAACACATGACTGGATAAATCTTCACCATCTTCTGTATGAGATAACCTTATAGATACGCTGTGAAGGTGATTTAGAGTAAAGTGAGTATTTCTAAAATGCAACGTGTGATTATATTTCAAGTATCTTATTTCTTCCACTAAGATATTCATTCTACTCCCTCCTGGAGTAGTGAACATTATTAAAAAAGTATTTTTGTTACAAAATAAAACAAAACCCACTTAAACTCATCTTTAAATTAAGATAAATTTCAACACATACTCTTCTTGTAGAATATAATTTACTTTTCTTACTGATGAGGCTATAGAAATGCTTGTTTCACTAGTAGTATAGTTTCTAAGGTAGCCTATCTTTTTATTTTAAAAATCTTATGTGGAATTCCAAAACAGAACTGTTCTGAAGTGGAGAAGGGGCCTTGAGGCCCTACCTATTTAGCTGTTCCCATGTCCTTTGTAATGACCCAAGGAGCCTCTATGACACCCTGAAGCTCCAAAGAAGAACCACTGACCTGGGTAACAGCTATAAATGTCACACAATAAACACAAACGGATCAAGTAAAACTTTCAAAAACAAAATTTATCCTATTTCACAACTGGCTGTAAAACATTAACAGGTTTCTATACATGTGCCAGAGTAACAGTCAAGTTCTTTATATCTGAAAATAAGCAAGTGAGGTTAAGTTGTTAACACTGACCTTTTTAACCTCTCGTTTGGGTATGATTGATCCACTCTTACTACTGGAAACAGAAGGGTTTTTCTCCTTTGTATACATGTCTGTATTTACTACAAAATTAGCTTCAGCATCTGTTACAGAACTACAAAAAAAAAAAAAAAACTTAGCAAGGGAAATAGAGGCAATATTAGCAAAAGGTAAGACTCTAATATCTTTCTAGGTTAATTTCTTTTCAAGACTACTACCTGGGCTGGTAATGTTGTAATCCTTGCACCTGTGCAGCAAGATACTGGGGTAACTCCCAAGTCACTTCATTTGTTTGTGTATTCCAATAATAATAGCATCCTGTGTTCTCATCCCAGACTTCTTGCCAATCTCCCATCTCAATTCCAACTGGAAGCAAATATAACAAATTTTTAGAAACATAGATTTCTCTGCAATTCTGACCTTACATTCCAAGTCAACTCTAAAGCCAGAGCTATCTAGCACAGGGTTTCTCAACCTTAGCACTATTAACATTTGGGCAGGATAGTTCTTTGTTGTTGTGGAGGACAGTAACCTATTCTGACGACAACCAAAAATTTGATAACACTGTCAAATGTCTGCAGGGCAGGTGGGAGCAGAGGATGACATGAGACGACAGCTTCCTCCCAACCATCTTTGCAAACATGGTTCAAAAAAAGAAGTTTGATAGTCCAAAAATGTATTCTGAACCCCAAAGGACCTTTTAAAAGACTGGTTATTATTATTCACTTGGGCATAATCTGCTACTAGTTAAAAGGGCAAGCAATTATCTTTGCAAAGATAAAACATTACATCCTAGTAGTTTGCAGAGAAAACTATTCCCCTTACCACCTTTCAAAAACCATATCTAAAAAGGCCAGAACCCTAAAGTCTAGGGCTACAGCATGTGGGCTTTCACCTCTGGGAATCTGAATGCCTAGAACACCTTTAATGACTGAACTTCAGACTTCTTTAAAAATCAAAGGACCAAACATACCTCCTGCCAATGAACACTGAGTATCATACTGCCACCCTGATGTCTGGGTTGAGTCTGTTCCATTTGAAGTAGTGGAAGAAAGGGCAGATGTTGCCAATTCTTTTGGCTCTGGTCGAGGTGGAGTTGGAGGTGTAGCTGATGCTCCTATAGGAACTGCAGGCTGAGGAGCTGTTATTGCATCTATCTCCTTTAGAATGAAAATAATAACAAATGCATTAACCATATCAAAACCAGAAAATTGAAGAAATAATAATCACTATATAAACAGTCCTACACACTCAGTTCTCAGTTTCTCAAATCACAACCTTCATCTTCCATTACAGACATTCTCCAAGCCCTTCCATTTTTCATTTTTCTCAGAGAGGTAGAGGGGGAGAAGAAGGGAGAGGGAGGTATTGAGACTGACAAGTGGACTAACCAACCACTTGAGATCCAGGCCCAAACTGGCTTCAATAAAAAAACCCAAATAAAAGCACTACTAACCGCTAGGAAGTTGGCCAATGTACTATCAATATCAGCTGACTGGTTTCCATTCACCTCTTTAGACTGTGCATGTTTCTCTGCAACATCACTCTCATCATCATCACTGTCAGCATATGCACCAAGTAAGCACAGACCTCCTAGAAACAAAAAAGCAAGCATGCCAATATGTCCTAGAAAGTATCCAAGACAAAATAAAACATGCCTCTTCAGCCAAAAAGTTAACGGTTTACTTACAGATTAGAACATAACCTCAAAATGAATCATTGAACTGCAACAAAAAGGTGTAAGTTACACAATGTACTTAAAGCTAATAAAATCAATCCACATAGCTACCTGACATCCTCCTTAAAATACATGCCCAACTATTCAACCTCATATTCTGTCAAGATACCATATGACTGATATATATATATATCCCTTTTTTAGAATTTGTTCATTTATGTGTCCATCTTGTTGCCGTAACTGGCAAGCAAGTAAGCCAACTAGGGTTTAGCAGATGAAACAAAACTCATGGAAGTGAAAAACAAAGCTCTTTTCCAATGATTTTTCTCAAAGAAGTGAATTAAAATGGAACTCAAAAAGAACCAAAACAAATCAACAAAAACAGCTAGAACCAATTATCAATGTCTTCCTCAAATTCAAGTATGTATGATATCTGTAACACTGCTGTGTCATTTCCTTTTGTATCATCTGTGGCTACTCTAATGTTACAACTAAGTGAGCATATATACCCCCTCTTTATATGTCATTTCATTATAGTAGGCATACAAATTGTTAATGTCTAGTTAGACTTTAGCCATCAATAAGACTAAATTTCCCAGTGCCTAGCACACTGTGTTCTCAACCAATCAATAAACAAACAAACAAACAAACAGATGTCAGGAAGTAAAGTCTATTTTTCTTTGTCAAAATTCCAAAAATGAATCAATGGGTTCACCTAAAGTAAAATTAAGTTGCTTCATTTATCATACAAAAGTTCACAATCAATGTTTCAGTTATATAAACCTTGCTGTCATTTTTAGCATATAGTTAAATTCTTACACTAAATAATCATTTTAAACTCATTAGACTTTTAAGTAGACATTTATTTAACATATTTCCATTTTCAAGTTACCAAATATTTTATTTCTCATTGTTTTGGGGTATGCCAGTCAATTTTCCTGATTTTATGAATAAGAGTTAATACCCTTACAAGGTAGAACTACATAAAAGGAGACATTTCTGTATGGAAAAGATTTACACTTTAGTATTCATCACTGGTGGTTATTTTTGGGAGGAGGAGAGGATGGGAAATGTATATTTTTACATAAAAACACTCCTTAGTTTAGAGACATTGAGAGAAATAATCACCTAGGTCACTGGCCTTAATTCTATCCCCTTTGATAAAAAGGTTCCAAGCAGGTGAGCTGCATGGAATTTTGATTGCAAAGTTCCCCCATGCAGGAGTAATTCCCCAGCTCAGAGTGGGTCTCAAGGGCAAATAGGTTTAAAACAAGGTTCCACTTATTCCTTTTTTCTTCACCTCAGAGCTTTTCATAGTACACACATCAAAACTCTTCTAAGCTCCTAATAACATACTGCCTATTATATAGCAAAGTCAATGAAAATTATTGAACTCAATGTTTTGGGGAAATGAGCATACTTGATCTTGTTAGAATCAACAAAATTATTCAGTATATTTCTTTTTTTTTTTTTTGGTATGCCAGAATATTTTTTAATTAAGCTTCAAGAAAAATTGAAATAAATGAAATAGCAAAACATCAGTAATTCCTTATTATTTATCCTTTTACAAAAAGACAGTTGGAACAAATAAATATAAAATGGTATGTGTCTTACTTAGCAATGGACAAATACAGGTTTTCTTGGTATTCTCCACAAAAATAAGCTAATGAAGCTTCCAGAAGTTGACTCATCCTATCTATTGCCTGCTCTCTATAGAAAGGTCAATTCTTTAATTCCCTAAAATTTTTAACAATGGATTCTTGAAATAAGTAATCGAAAACTGACTCAGGGACTAAGACACCTGAATCAAGTTAAAAATATACATATGTTGCCCAGAAACTTCAACTAACGAATATTCTTACAAGTTTTTCATTTCTTACCATTTGTGTGAATAAAGAGTCTATTCTGTTAAAATTTGCACGGCAAATAAAATGAGAGCTAGGTACAATATGTACACTTCTTTGTCCTAAGAGAAAACATTAAATACAGATATACTTAACATACAGTGAACATGCCATGTATTTTCTTAAAGCCAACAAAATCCTGATTTCCTGTGCCTTACAGGGGTCCCAAATCATCTGGGACCAAATCAAGTCATAAAATTAGCTATACAACAATACAAATTTGATATTTAATGGATGTATCCATTTGGAGGTCGCGAGAACAATGGACGTAAACAATGTCAGTACAAGTAGAAGCGCACATAAGAAACAGCACCTGCAGGTGATGGGGGGGGGGGGGGGGGGGGACAGACAGCTCTGCGCCCCACCGGGCACGGGCAAACCCTACTCAAGTGTTGCCATGGACACAACACCCTAGGTTCTTCAAAACCCCAGTCATTCAGTTCTAGTCTGAAACTTTCTTTAAACTTCAAAAGCCAATTTAAATTTAGGGGGGAAACCTTTTTTGAATTTGTGGCTAAAGATCATTAAAGTTTGAGATCAATTTCCTAGAAGGCAAGTCGTGACTCTCCAGAAGTGTGAACAAACGTCACAGAGCCCGAGGTAAAGAGCCAGTTGGCCGATGTGCTCAGTCAGGACCCCTACGGGGTCCCGAGGTGCTGCCACTCAGCGATTTAATCAGCCTCCTCATGCCAGAAGGCAGTGCTCCATGATGGATGCGGGTCGTACCTGCTGCTCATGAGACTGATGAGACCCCACCAACTCAGGAGTTTACAAATCCAAATTTCACTCCAGAAGTACCAATTTGGAATATGGATTTGCAGACAGACAGTACAGACAACAGCTGAGTGGAAGCTGCTTGCAATCACCTTTTATTTTTTTTCCTTTAGGGCTACAGAAAATCTGCACATAGACAAGGCCATTAACTCTCACAATAAAAATACACCTCAAGTAGCCGAGGCCTCCGGTCAGATTCCAGGCGAGGAGGCGCCGGACCTCATCCTATTCCACAGGACTGCTTCCCTGCAAGCCTGCAGGGTTGGCATCCATTCTCTCTAGGAAGATCAGCTTCTCACAAACTGCCTCCTTTATCCATAAATACTGTGATACCTCATTAGGTTCCGTGAAGAGGGAAGGTGGAACGTGCAGTAAATTAGCAATTTTGCTCTCTCGTGATGTATATTCTCGTAACATGTAGGTCTTGCCGGCCTCATGGTAAAGTCTTGTGTCATTCATCCTGATAAGCACCCCATCGATTCTCAAGAAAAACCGCAACAGCAGGAAAAAGCTATAAGGCATTACTCTAATTTTTACACTCAAGCTTGAAACTCCATGATCATGAAGTTCATCCTCAAACAGGAGAACTTCTTCAAAAAACTTAATCGGTTCTCTGGCTTTCAGTTTCTCTGTGTCTATATGATCTGTTGTAGGCACAACCTTCAACTTAAGTGACTCTCCCAGCAATGTCCCCTTATAGTCGGTCGTGTAGGTCCAGTCGTGTGGTTTGATGACCTCCTTGGGGTGCTCACTCTCCATCCTCAAACAGCAGAATGAGAAGGATCAGATTCAGGAGTGCAGAACACCAAATGACATTCTGCCTTCCTGCCACTCTTCAGCACAGGCTTCTTTGAGCATTCCTTGGTAATTGTTCACACATCTTAATGCGTCTGTAGCACTGAATTCAATCCCAAAGCCAGAGCAATGCTGGATTCTTAAAACGTTGTCTCCAAACATCATTTCAGGGAGAGATGGCATATGCAGTTCATCAGCTAACTTCTCCACGTCCACCGACTTCATGATGTGCGTCTTGGCGGCCGTCAGCCTCCACGGCCCGAAGAAGTCCTGGAGGCAGCTCTGGAAGCCGTGAATCATCATGGCCGCGGTGGGGCCTGCGCGCGCCTTGGCGACAACGGCGGCCGACCCGTGAGCCTCCGCCTCCCACAGCCTGGAGCCGTTTCCATGCCCGCCCCCACCGCCCTTCCTCCCGCTCCCACTTTCCAGTATATTTCTTAAGAATAATCTGGTAACATGTACCAAGAGCCACAAAACTCTCCGTCTTTTAGCCAAACAATCCCACCTTTCAGGATATAACCCCAAGAATTAAAATAAATTTTTTTTGCACAAATCTTCTAAGCAGCCTTATTTACTTATTTATTTTATTAAGGTATCATTGATATACACTCTCATGAAGATTTCACAAGAAAAATAATGTGGTTATTACATTCACCCTTATTATCGAGTCCCCCTCCATGCTGCATTGCAGTCACTGTCCATCAGTGTAGTAAGATGCCAGAGTCCCTATCTGTCTTCTCTAAGCTACATTGTCTTCCTTCCCCATGACCCCACACACACCATGTGCACCACTCATGACACCCCACAATCCCTTTCTCCCTCCCTCTCCACCCCTCCCCTTTGGTAACCACTAGTCCCTTCTTGGGAGTCTGTGAGTCTAAGCAGCCTTATTTAAATAACTGAAAGCTGTGAACTCAAATGCTCTCAAATAGGATGACCAGCAAGACAAATTACAGCATAGTACCTGATGCAATATTATTTTATGATTAATCTGATGATATAGAATTACATGAAATAATGTTAAGGGGACAAAAAGTAATGATAAAGGAATAAAATCAAGATAAAAACATCATGAAAGGCATGTAAATTCTAACTACACATCTGAAAATTCAGTCCATACATAAGGAACAGGCATGAATTTAGAGTAATACTGAAAATAAATGTTCACAGTATTATGTAAAACTGCTTCTTCTTAGAAAAATAAAAGGCTCACAGGACCACACTCTCTACTATTACTGAGATGTTGCTACTTGTAACTAGAGGAAGCAAAATCATTCTTCAGAGCCACAGAAATTAGCAGTCCTTTTTTGAGGGGGGTGCTAAAGTCTTCAAACTCAACATACTTAACCCTTAATGGATAGTGCCATGACATCTGGAAATCAACTAACTCTCAGGCAGTAAATTATTTCTTAGATATATACCTTACTTTCCTGATATAAGCTTCAAACAGTACCTATGTCTTCCTTATACTTCTAATAATTATCATTTCCTCTAACACTGTTTGAATGAGTGGTTTATAACTCTTTTGGTCACAGAAACTATTAACAATATGATAAAAGTTATGGACCCCCTCCCAGGAAAACACACCTGAGTGCAATTTTAGGGGATTCACAGACCTCTGACACTCATCTGGGGAGCCACAGTTAAGTACCCTTTCCTAGAAGATGCTTAAACACTGTTGTACTATCATACTAGTCTACTGATCTAATTTAAGAGAACTTACTCTGAAATTTTACACAGCTAGTTTCACATGCATATACATAAAATTTTTTAGTATTGAAGTATTAGACACACTTGCTCTATTACGTTATAAAAGCATACTTTTTTGAATACTTCAAATTTTTATTTCTGTGGAAAGAAATCTGGCATGTTTTCAGCGATAAAGGTTAAAATCCTTTAACTAAAATCACCTAAACAAAAAAAAAAAAGGCAATTCTTGAGTATCTAATAGTTACACAAAGCCATGCAAATAAAGGAAAAGTGATTCTCTTTGGTTTTTGTTTGACAAACCTTTCTCTATGCCTTATACCAACTGGTAGGTAAGAACTGAATAAAGCTGATATATTGCTGTTGCTGGATGAAGTTGGACAGAATGAAAACATTTCTGTTCGTAAGTCACACGAAGGCCTAAATGCTGACTGCAATCAAGGAAATTTCTCAAAGGAACATTTAAATTCTATCCATTTCACATGATTCTCAGAAAACAACTCAAATAATGTGTGTAGTCTACACAAAATGGTATTTTCTAATTTCAAAATTCCTCTCAGAGCCAAATTTTAGCTTTTCTAAACCACACTGGGTTGTTTTTTTTTCTTTTCTTCCAGTGGCAAATGGGAGGGGGGATGGGGAACAAGCATCTATTATTTCAGGTGCTATATAGTAGAAAAGCACTTCAAACTACGAATAATAAAATTAGGACTACCTATAGAATAATTAGTGTCAAAATATATTTTAACCTTTATGTGAAGAGTAGGGTAAACAAACTCTCTTAGCACTTGCTGTGTGTTTGAACTTTATAAATTGTTCAGTTTAATCCTAAAAATAACTTAGGGCTGAAAGATCCATTTTACAGAGGACCAAGGTGGTCTTGAATGCTAGAGTAGTCATTTGTACCCAAGTTTGTCTACAATATCACTGTTGCAAATATTCCTTCATGCTTAAAAAGTATTTAATAAGAGCAATTTTCAGGTCCACAAACATTTGCTAATTACCCATCAAAGCAGTAAGTTAGAAAAGAAATAGAATGAAAAGACATTGTTAGTACCCCTGAAGAAGGCCAAGATAGTCGGGGAGCGAGAAAACTAGTCACAAAATGTAATTAGAAGAAAAAGTAGTACAAAGTATTTTGGGTACCGAGAAAAAAGCAACAACAAATTTTACACTGGTTGAAGTGTATGCGAACAAGCCCTCAGAAAGATGATCGATTTCCATTTTATTAAGGAAATAGCAATTAGCAACACGCACGCTTTTCAACACTCAAGACACAAACCCAATTTGATCCCAATGATGGACTTTGTAAAAAGGATTAAAAAACAAAATAGAACTATACCTGTTGCTTTAACGGCTGTGGGTCTGGTGGTCATGGTTGGTTTGGGAGGATTCTCAACAACTCTGGGGACCGCCACCACTACTTCCTGTTCATCTGGGTTTAGAGAGTGAACAAAAGAAGGCTAGTCAGACGACGGACCAGATAACACACTCTAAATGAAATGACACTCTTTAATTTGACATTTCAAGACTACATTTCATCTCTTTAAAAACAATATGAATAATCCATCAATGACCCAAATAATTGGGAGATGATAAAACAAGCACGGCTAGAATCTTCCATTTGACTGGTGACTTTAACATTAAGAACCTGAACATTGTATATAAAAACATCTGAAATAATACAAAAGTCACACACACAATCTTCTGCAGACTACCGGAGCGCCTTTACAACAAGCACACTACAGTACTTTCTTTCGCCTGAGTTAACCAACGTGATTTTTTTAACACCTGAAATGGTCGTGGCTTGTCGGGCGTCTGGCCCCCATAGCGCCATTTAACACTCTTAATCTAAGTACAATTACGAGGAGGAACAAGTACTTGGTAACCCACAGGCTCCACTTCTCCAATGGAATACCATTGGGATATCTGCCAATTCGGGGTCACTCAGACTTTGACATTATAGAAAGGGCTTGCTCACTTCTTAAAGGGTCCCAATTTCAACAAAAATGAAGGTTAAAGCAGGAGACGTGTAGAAAATGCCATGTTCCACTGTTACCAGGCCTCAGACGTGGAAATTAACTCTCACATCTACCCCACAAGTTACCCAAACCAGAAGTGGGCACTGCAGACAGACTCAAGGCACCCCGGCCAAACCCTGCGCCAGAGAGAGAGCGCCGCCGGGTCCGCTCGCGCCGGGCGCGCACGGCTCCGTCAGCCCCTCCCGCAGCCGCGAGGCGCGGAGCCGTCCTCCCGCAGGCCTCGGATGCGGACGCCGCTGGCCCGGCCCCTCCTCCTCGCAGGGCTCCGCCGAGAGGACTAGGCTACGAGTTTTGGCCTCCCCGCTTACGGGCCGGGTCCTTCATGCGATCTTACCCTCGGAAGGCGAGTCGTCCCGAGGCGAGGCCGCAGTCCCCGCGGTGGTCGTCGCCGCCGCCGCTAGGGATGGCTGGCTGGGCGCCGCCGCCGTCGAGTCCGGCTCGGTGTCGGGTTCTGCCTCCAGGTCCCGGCCTGGAGTGCTGCTCCGGTAACCCGGCGGAGAAAGCTGCAAGATGGGCCTGCGGCCGGGTACCGCCCGGGATTTCTTCCCCATCGCGAGCCGCGAACGTCGGGCAACCGAGAGGGGCGGGCACTCGGCACGACGCTGCGTCACCAATGTTCACACATCGCGACACAGCCTCCGCCAAATATCCGCTTTTAACCGGCAGAGCGCGCTCCCGCGCAAGCGCCCTGGGCAGTCTACGCGGCTCCGCCTCCTTTGTCTTCTCAGTAGCAGGGCGGGCTTTACCTACGGGCTAGGCGATTGGTTGTTTTGACCAATTGAAGGAACCAGTAGCCAAAAGGAAAGGAAAAAGGGTGAGTCCAGCCAATAGTGAGGAAGGACCTAAGTTTAGAACGACTTCCCGTTACGGCGGGCTCCACCCATGCGTTTTTTTGCGGTTACTTTTCTTTACCCCACTAGCCTCCATCTTGTTCCTGTTCTTGGCCCTCAGTTGTAATTTTTCCTATCGGAATCTGTTCTTCTTTCTGGGACCTTCCCTAAGTTTCGCCCTGATTATTTATGCTTACTTTGGGTATAGCATGGAACGTAAAGTAGAATAGTGGGTTTCATACTTACGTAAATTTTTTTCTGAGGGCATACAGATGATATTTAATACTGTTTTAATGATAAACTGGAAAAAAATCACATTATACTGTATAGGAGGGGAAAGCCTAAACTGTTGCCATGGGATACGGGAGCCTTTCCAACCTGGCCCACTGCTTTATTAGACTCATCTTCCTTTAGCATTCTCTCTTCCCCTGTCCAATTCTTTACCCCTCTGGAGCCACCCACTTGGAGCATCTCCTCACCTTTAATCCTTCACACTAGTTGGAATATTATGGTATCACATGGTGAAATACTTTTTATTCCTCAAGACCCAATGCAGGCAGGTATTACTTCTCTGAACTTTATGTCTCAAAGCTGAGTGCCACCCCACCACTTGACATCTTGTTGATACCTGTCTCCTTCTTCTCAACTAAGCTTCAGAAGGATGTACGGGTATTTATTTGTAAAGCCCCAGAAGCTAATTTAGTCACTACCAGATAATACTAACGATATCTAATGCTTAGTGAGCACTTACTATGTGTCAGGTGCTAAGTGCTTTGTATATGGAATTGCATTTGGTTCTCACAATACCTTATCCCTTACAGATGAACCTTCAAATTGGTTGTTAAATGAAAAAACCATGAAAGTAATGACTTGTCTGTTTTGTTCCCTGTATCATACGCACTTTCTGGAACTTAAGCACCCAGGGTTTGAATGAGTGTAATGCGTGAGAATTCACACATTTAATATAAGTAACAACAGTTCTTTTTTTTTCTTGCCTATGGGAGGAATATCTAGATTAGAGTGTCCTGACATTAGACTCCCAAGATTTCTGAAAAATTAACAGAAGCAGGGGAGAATTTGCTGTTTTTAAACTTAGCAGTTTTTTTGTTTTATTAAGGTATTATGAAGATTTCACATCAAAAACAATGTGGTCACTGAAAGGGTATCTCGCTGCGACCCTCCTTGCCCAGGACGACTTAAATGGAGGATAAATTACTATATTTTTATAGTTACTGCATTTACCCATATTATCAAGTCCCCACCCATACCCCAATACAGTCACTGTCCATCAGTGTAATAAGATGCCACAGATTCACTGTTTGCCTTCTCTGTGCTACACTGTTTTCCCCGTGACCCACCACACCATGTGTACTAAACATAAACCCCTCAATCCCCTTCTCCCTCCCACCCTGCCCACCCTCCTACACTCCTTGGTAACCACTAGTCCCTTCTTGGAGTCTGTGAGTCTGCTGCTATTTTGTTCCTTCAGTTTTGCTTTGTTGTTATACTCCACAAATGAGGGAAACCATTTGGCACTTGTCTTTCTCCACCTGGCTTATTTCACTGAGCATAATATCCTCTAGTTCCATCCATGCTGTTGCAAATGGTAGGATGTTTGTTTCTTATGGCTGAATAGTATTCCATTGTGTATATGAACCACATCTTCTTTATCCATTCATCTACTGATGGACACTTAGGTTGCTTCCATTTGTTGGCTATTGTAAATAGTGCTGTGATAAACGTAAGGGTGCATATGTCTTTTTGAATCTGAGAAGTTGTATTCTTTGGGTAAATCCCAAGGAGTGGAATTCCTGGGTCAAATGATATTTCTATTTTTAGTTCTTTGAGGAACCTCCGTATTGCTTTCCACAATGGTTGAACTAGCTTACATTCCAACCAGCAGTGGAAACTTACCAGTTTTCTGATTTAGTTATTGAGAGAACAGGCATTGAAATATGGTAGTTGTGCATAGGAGTACCAAATCCAAATCCAAATCCAAACCTCAAAATTCCGCTCCAGCACATTCCAGGTGATTGCTTGCGTTGCCTGGCAGCTGCATCTGGCGAGGTCTCTCCCTGTGTACTAGGTTAAACACTAGGAGAAACCTCAACCTGAATGGGGAGGGTTCTTGAACGTGCAAGGTCAAATCAGAGACCTCAGTAGCTCCTCCCTACTTGTTTGAACTAGGACAGAGAGAGTGAAGACTTGTGCTTAAGTTTAGAAAATTGAATGAAATAGCAAAGAAACAAAGACACAGCACTGGAAGAGCACAGAGACAAAATGCAGTAAGTTGAGCAGGGAGTTTTTATTTGAGGTAAAAAAATACACACAAAGAAGGAACGTGGGCAACCTCAGAGAGGAGGTGTGCTTAAGGATTTGGGAGGTTTGGGGTTTTATAGGGCCTTTTGGGTAGGAGCAGAAGGCATGATATTACAGGTGATTCATAATTCCTTTGAAGTTTTATCTTAAGAATAAGGTTATTTAGGTAACTGTGTTGACCCAGATCTTGGCATTCCTTATTCACATAGATTCATTTACAATTTGGAGGCCTTTCTCCTGTCCTGGTCACAAAGTTACTTAATTGATTAAGGGTCTGGAAGAAAAGGAAGAACAGCCTATAGATTAAGTTAAAGATTAAGATGGGCCTTTTTCACAGGCTGAGTAGATTTTATAATAGCATGACCCTTGTCCCATTTCCCTGTCCTACCTCACTTGGACAAGTTTCTTAACATCCCTAAACTTGTTTCTGCAACTGCTAAAAGTGTTAATAACAGTATCCACAGGGTTTTGTGTAGTTTATAGTTTTAAACCCTTTGCACCAGGAACAAAAAAAGCAATCATTATATATGGTAGCTCTCATTACTATTAATGAGCCTTTTATTTAAATAAAAATCCAGTTTCTTGTATAAAACTGGCTGGACCCAAGTTGAGCTTATGTGCTAAACTACAAATCATAGAAATGTGAAAGGCTGTTTTCCTTGGGGGAAACTTACATTTCTGGAGGTGATGTTGTTTATAACCACAGTTATCACCCTGGAGGTTCATAGAACTTTTGGGAGACCATTAAAGCAATATAAGAACCCAACTGGTTGGATCAGAGGTGGGAATGCAGGGACCGTATCAGTTAAATTTAAAAATTAAAAAAGTTTTTAAATTTAGGTTATTCTAATGCTTAGCCAGGGTTGAGAACCACTGGCTTTAGAGGAGACATATTTTGCTGCTGGCCTCAGAGAAGGTGGGCCAGGAATAGGCAGATTATGACTAAGACCTACAAGGGTCGTACAAACAACTATAGAAACAGAATATGTGACAGGCCATATGTCATATGACATTACAAAACCTAAATCATTTATACCTGGCTCTTTAAGAAAAGTGTGCTCGAGTTTAGACTCAAGGTGGTTCAAGTCACTCCCTTTAAAGAAAACTGAGACCTGATCCTTGATTACCAGTGGCCTAAGCACCTCTGGAATTACGTTATTTTGGTTATGATAATGTTTCAGTAAAAAACAAATTATCAGGGCTGACATTTGACAAGTAAAATATGGGAAGAACAATCATTTGAATAAGCTTATTTTCAAATATGTTTAGTTATAATCATATTTATTGAGCAGTATCTACTTGGTATGTGATATTAATTTCAAAAGCTGACCTTCCTGAATACATTTTAAAGCTCTAGCTTTTGGTACTTAAAGAAGTCACCAGCAGAGGTGGACAGTCTACAGAAGTCTGTTTCAGTAGGGCAGAATGATGTATTTTACCTAAATTGTATCACTTATTTACTGTCTCACCCTCAGCTGGGTATATTTTGATCAAATCCAGTGCTAGCTGCTAGGGGGTTAGAATCAGATGCCACAGGTTTAAGGCTCAGCCCTCTACAGGACTACTCCTAAGAAGGGCAGTTTCAAGTAGGTCCCCAGGCCACCCACACCTCTGAATGGACATGAAGTCAGGGGTTTCCACAATCTCCCCAAGCTTAATAATTCTCTAGAACCATTCACTGAAATCTAGAAAGCATTATACTTAGAGTTTTATTTTAAGGATATACATATGGTGAGGTCTGGGAGGAAGCAAAGAACTCCCATGCTGCCTCCCTCTGGAGACATGGCATGTCAGTCACCAGCCCAGCACAATGTTTTCTCCAACCAGTAAGTTCTCCCCAACCTTGATGTTGTTTTTACTGGGACATTTATATAGGCATGGTTGATTAAGTCATTGACTACTGTGACTCCGACTGAACTGTTTCCAACCCTCCAGTCTTCTCAGAAGGATGAGCTGGCCTGAAGTTTCAACCCCATAATCACCATCACAGGGCTGATCTTCCTGGTAACTGGCCCTGCTCTGAAGCTACATCTAAGGGCCCTGCCAAGAATCCCCTCATTAGCGTAGCATAATAAAGACTTCCATTATTCAGGAAATTGCAAGGGGTTTTGAAGTTCCATGCCAGGAAATCAGGAACAAAGACCATGTATATTCTTTATTATAAATTATTTGCCCTTGTGTGTTTTATGAAGTTAAACCATCAAACCTCATTTACTGGAGTACCTACTTTCAGTCCATAGAGACTGGCATAGATCATTTGAACAATAAACTGTGGTCTTTTGATGGAGCTCTATGCAGATGCACAAATGATATACAGGATAAAAAATTCCTGTGGCTTAGTGAGTTAGTTATTAAGGTCAGTCTTCAGAAAAACCAGTACAGGCCTACCTATGTTTTTAGATACAAAATTGGAAAGAACTGTTAAGATTAAACAAAAACTTAACAACTTTCTGTAATAGACTGTGCTGTAGTAGAAAAAAAATATACTAATTGAGTTGAGATATGTTA